TTGAAAAGTTTTGAAAAAAAAGTTATTGGTAATGAAAAAATTTTTTTTTTCAAAAATAAATCCTTCGGACATAACCAAGAAAAACATATGTATGTATGTCTCGACAGCTGTAAGATTAAAACACTAACTTTTACTTAAAAAAAACTTTAAACATTGGGAAAATGAGAATGTCATCATTTTCTCTCATTTTTTTCAATAACAAGTATTATTCCAGACGCTTTGGATACAAAAACTTTATAAAGTTTTTAAATGTTTTTAAACACTTTCCAGAGAGGACCTATTATGTGGTAAAACTTACTTAACGCCAGATGTTGGTAGATGATAATTTGTATGTAATAAATCTTTTTTTGAATGTGAATTGTTTTGTTTATATGTTTTTTCCTTTATAGAGTGAAGACTCGTTCATCAAAAAAATATATTGTTGTAGAATAATAATTTCAATTTAGTTAGCTTCAAGTGCTAAGCTCAATCAACCAATGAAGATACATAGGGTCATTAAAATATATACTAGGTGATTCATGAAAATATATACTAGGTGATAAAGACTAAAAAACTTTCAATGTTTAGGGCATCAAAAATTGGTAAAATTTTTGTTTGGAACTAGTTTTAAAAACTCAACAGTTTTCACGAAATTTTTACTTACCTGTCCCTTTCGAAAAAGATAAAAGCTTCAAAAGAACAGTTTTTGAAAGTGCTGGTAAAGGTTTTGAAAGCAATGTATTACTTAATTTTGTATTTTATGTATTTTTAGAATGCCAGGCATCAAGACTATGTCAATTGGCAGCAAACTCCTCGTTATACATAGCAAGTACTAATTTTCCTCACAAAAACATACATAAAGGGACGTGGAAGATACCTGGCAGTGATATGGTAAACCAAATTGACCATGTGTTGGTAAATAAAAGAAGAATGTCGTCAATCATGGACGTACATACATGTAGAGGAGCAAATTGCGATAGTGACCACTTTCTTATAAAGACTAGGCTGAGGCAAAGAATCTCGAATGTAGCGAAACACAAAGGAGTTCGAAAGAAAAAATGGAACACAGAAAAATTCAAAGAAGGTGATACAAGGACTATGTTTGCTGAGGCCATAAACAGAAGATTGTCACAATACGAAAGCGCAAATATCGACGTCAATGAAGAATGGGGGCAACTAGAAAAAATTCTTAACGAAACTACGAATGAAATAATCGGTGTGGCACAAAAACGACGAAATGAGGAATGGTATGACAATGAATGCCAAATAGCAGTACAAAAGAAAAACGATGCAAGAAACAATATGTTAAGAATAAATACCAGACTCAACAGACAAATATATAACACGCTAAGAAAAGAAGCCAAAAAGACAATAAATAAAAAGAAAAAAGCAGCTCTCAAAAGAAAAACCGAGCAAATATGTAAAGACTTTGAAGAAAATCAGATTCGACGATTCTATATGAAGATAAAAGATGAGAAACGCGGTTTTCAACCTAGACTAAATAACTGTTACGACAAAAATGGTGCAATATTAAGTGAGGAGGACGATATACTAGATAGATGGAGAGAATATTTTGACGAATTATTAAATATAGAACATTCTGTGATAGATAATGGGATACCCATACAAAGAAACATAAGTGCAATAGAATACAGACAGGAAGAACTACCAACCAGACAAGAAGTGGAAAATGCAATTTTCCAGATGAAAAATAACAAATCTCCAGGAGAGGATGGCATTGCGGTAGAAATATTTAAAAACGCGGGTGAAACTTTTATCTCTAGAATACATAATCTAATATGTAGGATTTGGGATACAGAGAACATACCAGAAAAGTGGGAGCAAGGATTAATTGTGCCGATACATAAAAAAGGCAATAAGCTCGACTGTACAAACTACAGGGGTATCACATTACTGAACACAGCCTACAAGACCCTCGCCAATATCATTAATAACAGACTAAAAGAAGTGGCTGAAGATATACTAGGAGACTACCAGAGTGGATTTAGACGGAATCGATCCACTATCGATCAAATATTCTTATTACGACAAACTATGGAGAAGTGCTACGAATACAAGAGAAATTTACATTTACTAATGGTTGACTTCCAACAAGCTTTTGACTCTATAAGGAGAGAAATAGTTGAATCTGCACTCCAAAACTTGGGAGTATCGATAAAGCTTACAAACTTGGTCATGTTGACACTCAAAAGGACCAGATGTAAAGTAGCACTACAGAACAAATTGACCGATGAATTTGAAATAAAAACAGGTGTGAGACAAGGCGATGCACTGTCAACAACAATATTTAATTTGGTGCTCCACAGTGCCATTAGAGAACTAGATAGAGTAGGACACATATTTATAAGATCATCAATAATCAGCGCATACGCGGATGACATTGCAATCATAGCAACATCAGTTGACGAAATGAAAGAAGTATTTTTGACGCTAGAAAGAGAAACTGCTGCAGTTGGTCTAAAAATTAACGAATCAAAGACAAAATATATGAAAATGACGCGCTCGGAAACGACAAGATCCCCTCAGAACATCACAATAAATAATTACAATTTTGAAGGAGTAAGCTGTTTTACATACTTAGGTGCCTTAATTAATAACAGAAACGACATGCATTGGACAATTAGTGATCGTTTGCAAGCAGCCCAAAAATGTTTCTATGCCCACAAAAATCTATTTAAGTCCAGGCTACTGAATAGAACAATTAAACTTAGAATATATAAAACTATTATTCAACCTGTGCTAACGTATAGCTGTGAATCCTGGACAATGACTAAAAACGATGAAAGGAGTCTTAAAATATTCGAAAGAAATATACTAAGAAAAATATTTGTTCCCAAAATAGACGAGAATCATGAATATAGACGAAGAACCAACGCAGAGTTGGAAGAATTAATAAATGGACAAAACGTAATAAAAGCTATAAAATCACAAAGATTAAGATGGGCGGGGCATGTCGTAAGAATGACAGATGACAGAATGCCAAAAAGAATATTTGACGCGACGCCGTATAATACTAGAGCAAGAGGCAGACCAAGATCTAGATGGCTGGATGAAATAGAAGAAGATTGTAGAAAAATCGGCGTACAGAGATGGAGAGTTATAGCTCAAGATAGATCAGAATGGAGGAAAATTGTGAACGAGGTTAAGGCTCACCCCGAGCTGTAATACCAACAGATGATGATGATGATAGAATGCCAGGCATTCGAACTTTTGGCGCAAAAATATAATTTTCTCCTTCTTTTATTTTTTTATTTTCAACCAACCCTATAATTTCGTACGAAATTTTTTAAAACTTCGAAGTGTTTTTTACAGAATTTTGGATACTTTTTCAAATTAAATTTAAGTCATTAAGTGTCAAAAGATCTTATATGGTATAGGAGATAGGAGAGAAAAACTATTTCTAGGTCAAGATTTTAAGGCCCCTAATAAAATGTACAAAATCAAAAAATTGCCACTACTTTTGATTTTTATTTATTTTAAGTGATTTATTTTGTAATCACAATAGTTACTCTAAAAAGCAGTTGACAGTTTTAAAAACTGTTATTTTGGTAAAAAATGAAATTTTAAGATTTTTTATTGAAACACAATAAATTTTCGAGTTTAATTCGAAAAAAAGTTCGAGTTTTTGATAAAAAAAATTGACTGAAACCCAACAATTTTCATGTTGAAAAGAATTTTAGAGTTCACACAACAATGTATCAAAAATTCAAATTGCAACTGGAAACTTTAACTATAATTTAAATTAAATGTGTTATCGAGTTTTTTTGAATATATTTATTAAAAAAAACAACAAATTTGTCGAGTTCGTCAGGCAACATATCTAAGAGAATTGAGAGTACAAAATAACAGTACACTGAATAAAAAAAAAAAAGTTTGGTACTATGTTTTTTAATCTGGAATACTGGACCTAAAATAAAGTTAATAAAAGTTTTATATTTAAGTTAGAATTTAAATTTGCTTTTATTAGATTGTAAGTTTTCATTATTATTAAACTGCTTATGCAATTTTATAATCATTATAAAAACTCTGTCGTTTCAAGTTGTCCTCTATATAAAAACTAACATAATAAGATTATTATATTCATATGTACATACAGTGACTCCCACTTGTATTCGTACAACGAAGCAAAATGCACAATTTGAATTTTTTTTTGCAAATGAATTCGTACAAGTTTTACAAAATTGGCTATTTATTATTAAAATTAAATCAAAACAAAGAAAAAAAAATTGTTTTTTGGAGCTATTCAAGAAAAACAAAAATAAGTAAAACAAAAGACTCACAGTAATATTCGTACATTTATACAAAGGCACCAAAATTCTTGAAAATAAATTATGTAATGTTAGTTTTGATAATTGTTAATAATTTTTCTTAGTTTCGATCAATAAATGTGTATGAATACATAATTTTTATTGCGATTTAACGGAATATTACTTTTAATTAAAATTTCGGAACAAGGGTTATGCAACAAAGTACTAGACTTAGGATTATATTAAGTTTGTGCTCTTAATAATATAATTAATGTAATGATGTACGAATACGACTGTGACCTGAATTTGTTCAATGAATTTTTAAAACATTTTTTTTTGACAAATTTGTTTGTTAAATGTGATTTGATTTTTATTTTTGTTCACTACTATTATTAAATAATAAAAATTGATTGAAATATTTACAAAATATATTTTACATTTTCCGTGACTTCAATAATGCGCTTAAGACGTAAAATTTTACAAAGTATCAAATTCCAAAAAGTTTACTAAAAGCTCTTGACATTGTACACTTTTCCAAAATGCGTTTTATACGTAATGGAAACGTAAAATAAAAGTAAATCGGGTATCGAAAAAATCGAGCACGCTTTTCTTATACCTTGTCATATAAATGTTACCAGAAATAACCGATAAAATAAACTAGCATATATTTTCAGCAATAAAGTGCTAGCTATCAAGTTTTTTCCAAAATAAAGCATAAGAATGCTATATTTCCAGCGGTGTGGTAACGTTTGTTAGTTATACAAAATTTAGTGTCATTTGTCATATTTCAAATTCATAAACAAAAAAGTTTTTTTAAACCTTCACGTACATATATGTTATTTTTAAAATTTGAAAAAAAAATGGAAAAAGAGAAGTAAGTTATACCTTAATTCATTAAATGTAATATTGATTTAACATTTAATTTTTGCAGTAATAAGAAATGGACCGTGGAAAGGAAAAAATTATTGATTACAGTGATGCTGAAATACGAAAGGGAATTCGTATCAAAACGTTTTAAAAAATCCACGTTATGGAACAAAATATATAATGATATCCTTGAAGTAGAACCGGATTTCCCATTCAATTCAACAGAATTATACAACAAATTTTTAAACATAATGTGTACTTTTAAAAGGATAAAAAGACGCAATAATACTTCGGGCGAAGCTTGTACAACCTGGGAGTTTTATGACATGTTAAACGAAGTAATTGATTCGATGTACGTACATAAATAAAAAAAACTAACATAGTTATTCTTATTTTGTGTTTTGCAGGTATATGGAAACAGCAGTAATATTACTGTGCCTCAAGAAATTTTAGGTTCTAGTCTCGACGACTTGCAAGAGCTATTGGGGAATACAAGTACGAGTAGTGAAACTATACAGGTGCAATCTGATGTATGTATTGAAAATTTGAGCCCTGCCACTTCAAAACCAAAAAAGAAAAACGAAATATTGAATTTTCTAGAAAAAGAAGCAGAAAGTGATAAGAAAATAATGCAAGAAATGCTTGAGATTGAAAAAGAAAAAATAAAAATCGAGAAAGAAAAAATTCAGGAATTACGTGAATTGAAAAATTTACTAAAATCTTTGCTTCCAAAATAAAAAATGTGATAAGATTTGCATAAGTTCATGTGTGATTAAGTAATTTATGTGCCATTTAAGAGTTAACGACTATTAAAAAATTTTTTAAGGCAATCAATGCCATTTTTAATTTTATCAATTTTTGAAAGACTTTTATTTATAATTAGTTTTTAATGATGAACATATAATATATTTACAAATGCAATAAGAATAATATGTATAAAGACTTTTTGAGGCAATGAATGCCAGTTTTATTTTCTAACAAGTTTTGAACAGAACAAAATTAAGTTATTTAGTTTATAGTTGCAAAATGGAAAATAAATTTGAAGTATGATACGAATAAATATAAACATTTATTATTTTTTACTTTGAAACTTTTGTTTTATTTTTTTTCAAAAACTTACAGAAACAGAAAATATGATTCATTCAAAGAAAGGTTATTTTATTTTAAGCACATATCAAATTTGTTATTATGTTTCTTTTATTTGAGGCTTCTTGGTTTGGAAAACTCGATGTAGTAGTACAAATAATATTTTCAGTATTGATTCGACTTGTGTCGTTTTCATCAACTCCTTCATGATCAATTACAATATTGTGAAGAACAATAGCTGCCATTATTATGGTTTTTGCTAAACTTAGATTATGAAGTTCCAGATGATGTAACATTCTCCATTTTTTCTTCAAAATCCCAAAAGCCTGTTTAACTAAAACACGGGTTGAACTTAAAGCCGTATTATATCTTGTTTCTTTTTCGGTCAAATGCCCGTTATCTTTAAATGGAGTCATCATGTACATTTGTAAACTATACGCTCCATCGCCTATTAAATGATTCTCTGGTGGAATGGATATAATACCTGAAAATATAGTAAATATATGTATATAACTTTTTTATAACCAGCCAAAAAAACCTACCACTGGTAATTGCCTTTTTTATTGGACTGTCATTCCACATAGCTGCATCGTGGCAACTACCAGGGTAGCCCACGAAAGCATCAGAAAACTTCATTTTGCTATCCACTATTCCCTATAAATTAAAAAATATGTGTAGATATACATATATGTATGTAAATAAAAATTACTTGAACAAGGATTGAGTAAAATCCTTTTCTATTATAAAAGCTTATTGGATCTTTTAACGGTTTACTGATGCTAATATGCATGCCGTCGATGCATCCAATTGTATTCGGGAATGGTCGGCAACGGATTTTTTCAAATTCCTCAATTAGTTTCCTTTGTGAAGTAGCAGTTCGAGGAAATCTAATTACTTTGCTTTTTAAATTTGCTATCAATGTGACACATTTTATAAAAATTCGATAAGCAGAGCCCTGCGCTACTCCAAATCGGTCACTAATTTCGCGAAATGAATTTCTGTTAGCTAATTTCCAAATTGTCATATATAAACCATATTTTAAGCTGTAATTTTTCGATCGCCCAACGTAGCAATTTTTAAATGTTGGTTTCAACTTGTTATATAATATCTAAAAAACAATGAGTACAAAAAAAACAATCGCACTTATTTTGGATTATTATTACTCATATGTACTTACTTCAAAAGTGTTTCTAGTCATTCGAAAATGATTATAAAACACATCGTCTGGATATTTATCAATGATAGTTTCAAAATTAATTATTTTTGGAATTTTCCTTTTTGATTCTGTCTTAATTTTTTTATTAATAAAAAGGCAGTATCTCTTTTGCTTTCTTAATGTTATAATTTGTTTAATTTTATTAAAATTGCTGCAACTAATTGAACTGTTGCTACTATTAAAATCAATTGAATTATTTACAACAATATTTGCGAACACATTCATTTTTTTAAAATTAACATTTGCACAGAACTTTAAATTGAAATTTTCAAACAAATGTCAAAGTTGTATTGATATGGTAAAAATTGTATTCCAAAATGTATCAAAAGCTAATACCGTATTAATACCGTACTTAAATCTTTTTTAAAGCATTATTGAAGTCACGGTTTCTGTTTTATTAAATAGAATTAAAATATGGTTGCTGTGCGATTACGAGTCATAGCCACTTATGTATGTATAAAGATCTTGTACAAGCTTTTCAAGTTTCTGATACGGTAGTTTTAAAAACGTAAATCTACACTAAAATAACTAAAATCATAAGTATATATGTACATAAGTACATACCTAAAAGGAACTATATCATAAACCCCTATAATGTATAAAGATGTCTGTGATTATACATATGGACTATTATAAATATAAAAAGAATACACATATGCAATAATTTTTATGAAATATGAGGCATTTATAGATTATGGGTGACATACTATTAGGAAACTTAACATCAAATGTATGTCAATTTTCTCAAATTGGAAAAAATATACAAAAAAAAATTTGATATTTAAAAAAAATCCACTATTTTGTAGCGTAGCATTTATTGAAATCTTAAAAATATTAACAGTCTGGAAGGTTTTTTTTAAATCAATTTTTCAAATGTTAAGAAATTTATTAAAAAGACAAAACTTTAAAAATGTAATCACTAGTAAACTAGATAAAAGTCGAATTTCAACTTTTTTCAATTAAAAATTTGAAAGGTGATCTTGAGATTTATGATGTTAAAAAACCCCTATAGCTTCCATAACACATGTAGTTTTGCATAGACAAAACTGATGCCATACATATCTACACATATAAAATTCCGGCTAATTGACATTAATGATTAGCAAAAACTTTTTAAATATTTAAGGAAGCAATTAGCCTAAATTCTATTATATGAAAACAAAAATGTCCTTTTGTTTACTTCTGATTGTTTATCTTTTCGTCAAAAAGTTAAAATAACGTAATTTTTTTTTTATAATTTTTTGGATGTCAAATTTTATTTGCCCAAATTCAGTTTTTATTAGATAGAGTGCTGATTGCTAATGGAATAGTTACCTTAACTTTTAATTAAACTTATTTTTTTTTAACTCAACAACTCGTTTTGTTGAAAAATTTTAAGTCTTTAACTGTACAAAGTCATTCTACTTTCGTTCCTTCTCAAATACAACAAACTCATACTCAATCCCATTCTCTTCTTGAATTCCTGTTTTAATATTTATATCTTTAACTATTTTAAATTTCTTTGAAATTGGCGGAAAAAATGCATCACATTCAAAATCAGCTTTGATTTGTGTTAAGTATAAACGATTACAAAATGGGGAATCCATAGCTTCACGATACACCGAACTACCTCCTATAACCCAGACATTTTCTACCAGATTTTTAAAGTCTTCTTGACTAAACCGGTTAATAGCTTCTTCCATTGTAGAACACAAAATAACATCTTTGGAAATTTTACTCTGATTAATAGTTCTGCTTAATATAACATTTATCCTTGCAGAAAGTGGTCTTTTATTTTCCGGAATTGCAAAATATGTTTTTCTCCCCATAATCAAGGCATTTTTTTTAAGGGGGTCGTTTGTAAACATCGTTAAATTCCGGAAATGCAACAAGTCGTTCCTGAAAATTTCGTTAAAATCTTTTGAATTTGGTATAAGTTTCCAAGCATGCATTACTTTAAATTCCAAGGCAAAGCACCATTTAATCCTATTCCCCCATTTTTACAAACTGCCGCAATTATATTCAGCTCCATAATTTTTGAGTGTAAGGAAAAGACAGCAACTGTAAACCTAAAAATCAGCTTCCTTTTTATGTTAATGTTTTTATTTTGTTTTTGTTTAATGTAATTAAGGCAGGGGTGTTTAAAAAGTATTCTCTGTAACACTAAAAAGTGGGAAGTTGCAAAAAATCATGTTATAACCGCATCTGATAGCCCGTTTGCCGCATCTGATACCCCGTTTTTCACAATTCGGCAGATTCAAATCTGTCAAAAAAAAGACAAATGATTGTTTTATAACTCGAAGCTTTGAGAGTTAAATATTCGTGTACTTTTTCGCGGTCGAAGATGCTTAGAACGCGCTGTACGTGTATAATTTATATTGTGTTCGTTTTTAATTGTATAATTTGTGTTGTGTTCATCACTAGGTTTGAACAACTTATTGTACCAACCAATTTTGACTTTTTTTTGGTTAATTATGTAATCAAAAAATTTGCAAAATCTCTGTTGCACCAAGAGTCACGCTAATGCACCGTACTAACAAAAAAAGTACTTTTTTAAAAAGCAAAAATAAAAGTGGTTCGGCCAACAAGGCCCACATTCAAAATTTCTTTTGGCATGAAAATTTTACTGCAAATTTTAAACAGTTCGTGAATGTTAATAAGTAATCAAGGCAAAAAAAAAAAACAATGTATATGTACCGCACGAAATATATTAGCAAAAATAAAAAAGTATTTTATTCCGAATAAAAGGAAGTTTTCTTTTCATACCAATAAAAAAATTATTTGAAGTGTTTGGGATGAAAAAAAGCCGACACGAAAATTTCATTTGTTGCCAAAAGATGTGGAGAGGTAAATATGTACTTTTGAAAATATTTTAAATATTTAGTGTTAAGCATTTGTAATTAATAATTATTAATAAATAAAATAAATAAATTATCTTTAAATTTTTTATTTTTATTTCAATTTTTATTAAATTTAGAATATATTTTCCAGAATCGGTAATAATTATATTTCATAAAGTATTAATCAGTATGCATACACCTTTTTTATACCCTGCACTTCGTGAAGGGTATATAAACTTTGGTATGGAGTTTGTTACTACTTGAAGGAGCCATTTGCGGAATGTTATATATATATATATTCATGCTTAGCGTAAAATTCTGCGTCGATTTAGACATGCCATTGCGTCCGTCCGTCCGATTGCACGATAACTCAAAAACAAATAATGCAATCGACACCGAACTTTCACAAGTTTTTTCCTTTGTGCCACGGACGAACTCTATTGTAATTCGACTAATTCGGACAACGGGTTCGGGTAGCTGCCATACAACTTAAAGAGTTTATTTTAAATATTTCAAAAACTAATAAAGCTATAAATATAAAATTTTTATACTGTGTCCAATTATATTCTACACATGCTTTAAAAATTTTAATGAGATAGCTTCACCGGTTCGGGTGGGTGCCATACAACTCAAAAATAAATTTTTTATATTCGGAAAAATAATAAAGGCAGATTCAAGAAACTTGGCAGTCATGTGTCTAATTATAGGTCAAATATATTTCGGAAGTTTTAGTGGTATTGCTTGACAGGTTCGGGTACCCGCCATACAACTCGAGAAGCTGATTTGAAATATTTGGAAAAATAATAAAGTCAGATTCATGAAACTTGGCAGTTGTGTGTCGAGTTATAGGTCAGATACATTTCTGAAATTTTGCTTGAATTGCTTGACAGGGTCGAGTAGCTCCCATCCAAGTCTAAAAGCTTATTTTAAATATTTGGAAAAATAATAAAGTCAGATTCATGAGACTTGGCAGACGTATGTACAATTATAGGTCAGATACATTTATGAAGTTTTGCTTGAATTGCTTGACAGGTTCGAGTAGCTCCCATGCAAGTCTAAAAGCTTATTCTAAATATTTGGAAAAATAATAAAGTCAGAATCATGAAACTTGGCAGTTATGTGTCCAATTATAGATCACATATGTATATTTGTGAAGTTTTAATGGAATTGCTTGACAGGTTCGGGTACCTGCCATACAACTCGAGAAGCTAATTTTAAATATTTGGTAAAATAGTAAAGTTAGATTCATGAGACTTGGCAGTCTTGTGCCTAATTATAGATCAGATATATTTGTGAAGTTTCTATAGAATGGTATTACAGGTTCGAGTAATTGCTATACAATAACGAAAGGTGAAGGGTATAATTCTATCGGTTTATAGCAACTGAAACGTTTTTACTTGTTAATGTTTTAAACCAACTTTTTTTATTCCTAGCAATATAGAAAATTAAAAACTTTGGAGCAACAGCAGAAAGAAATTACTTTTGACTGTGAGGTTTGGAGATGAAAAAATTTTACAGACAACAAAAGAAAATAAAATATAATCGGGCATTTGATTAATTATTGAAATATAAGTCGTCGTTTTTGTTACAAGTTCATTATGAAATTTTTTTAAAATCTCCATCATTCATAGTTTTTTTTTGTTCGTTTATTTATGTAATCTTTGTTATCAGTTGATTTCAAACTTAATGCTTCTAAAGCGCAATTAAGGAAAATCTTTTTTGCACACAATTTTTTTCCATTTTTTTTAAACTTACAAATTAATTTTGGTTAGTTGTTTGGACCTAAAATGTAAGTAAAAATCAGATGTTTTAAAATTTTATTGTATGTAATTATTTATTTTCACAGGGGAAAGTTTACGTGGTTTAAAATTTATTTTTGTTTTTCTTTACAAAATAAAATACACAGCGGTACCGGAGCGCTAACATACTTACCCGTTACCGCCGGATCTCTCCTTTTCCACCCCTCATTCGAAATTCGTCGGAGCTCCTCAAAAATCGACTCAAACCCTTGTCGCTTGTGGTATTTTCAACGAAAAATAATCGAGTTTTTATTATTCTCAGTTGTGTTTATTGTTTCAGTCTCAATCTTGTACTGTCTTTGTAACATTCAGTTATGTTATAATTATATTTTATAAAAGTGTTTCTGTTTGACATCTTATAATTAGTGTTAGGACGAGAGGTAAGAATACTTTATACATAATGATGTTTGACAATTTATATTCTACAACGTTAAGTCTGTAGCGCGCTCGAAGAAAGCTCTGAATGGAGTTTCCCAGCGCCGAACATGACCGTAGAAGATGGGTCACCGTTTCCTCCTCCCGTCACAGCAGCTTCCACAAAGATCATTCGCGGGGCAGCCCATTCTCCTTGCACATGCATCCATAATTGCCTTCCTTACTCTCCATAATGATAACTTCGAATCCAGAATTAGACCTAAAAACCTAGCCTCCTTGCTAGACTAATCTTTCTCTTTGTGAAAAAAACGTTTCACTTTCTTCTGTTTATAAAATTGTTTTCGAATGGAGAAATTTAAAAAAATGGATATAATTTGCAGATTTCAAAACTTAATAGCTGAGACCACACGATTCATCTTTTTTCAAAAAAATTTTTATTTTTGAAACTGCTTTATTTCCATTAAATTCATCAAAATTGGGTTTTTTTTGTATGTATGTTTATTTGAAATAAAATTTTGAAGAGAGAAGGACATAAAAAAAAAGCGGATAAGTTGGCGATTAATTAAAAATAAAAAAAAATGTGTTGTTTTTCCCTTTGGTATTGTGCTCTAGTTAGATTTGAATTGTTCAAAATCCAATAAATGAATGAAAAAAAACAGAAAAATTGTTTTTTGCATTAGTAGATTCGAACGTTCACCTCAAAGAATTTTAGAATCGAAAAAGAAGACAGGAATGAAAATAAAAAATAACTACAAAATAAAAATAAAATAAAATAAAAAATTAATTAAAATTTAAAATACAAGGAAATTATTATTATCCCAATTTAAAATACAAGGAACCTGCCAAAGAGTACTATCGATTCATTTGGATATATTCTTTCGTACAAATGTCATATCTATGATTCCCGCAAATTTTCCTTTTTGTTAAAGATGTAAAATTTTGTAAAAATGTAAGATTTTTAATTTTAAATTATTTTACAAATAACTACAAAATGTATATGGAAAAGAAGAACGAAACGCAGTATAAAAATTTAGGTAATGAAAGGTACGGAATAGGGAAAAGAATTTTTTCTATTGGAAATAACGTTAATAATTTTAAACAAGAAAAAGAGAAAAAACTTATCGACATTACTAGTCTCCCCAATTTTGATAAAAATAATGTAAGAGAGAAAGTTCAGTGAAAAATATATTGCATATACCTTTGTGAAATCTATAAAGAGAAACTTGCACCCTATGAGTGATAGTTCGCAGCTAACGAATTTACATGTTTTCTTATGGAAGCTATAGAGGGCCCTTTTTAACATAATAAATCTCGCACAAGTTCAATCTTTTTTAAATTTATGATCAAAAAGAATTAAAATTCATCCTTTTTCTATTTTACTAGTACTTACATACTTAAAGTTTTGTGTTATTAAAACAATAAACATTTAAAACCTTCCAGATTAGTTTTAAGATTTAGTTTTTTATGATTTCAATAAATGTACATTTGATATTAACAAGTTTGCTAATTATGTATGATATGTCTTCCACAATGCATATTTCTTATGTAAACCACAGGCATCTTTATATAAGACTCCCCTATACACAATTTATTATATCATACATATGATGTATTGAAAATTGATCGTCATATTTTTTGTTAAGATATTTATTCTTTTATTATGTATTTTCGAATAAATTAGAAATGTTCAAGGTGATAATGAAAAATTAAAAACGATTGTCTTACTATCTATTTCTACTTTCGTGTAATTTTTGACATTTTTTATTCGAGTGCTTTTTCGTTGTGGGAAGGTATAAAATTTTAATGAAAATACTAAAATGTAAATAACGTATTTCAAAAATTATTTGGATTAAAAATATTTAATATTTAAAGTTTTCTTTACTACCTTAAAAATAGTGGGTTAATTAAAAATAATACCTTAAAAATAATTTTCCCAATTTAAAATACAAGGAACCTGCCAAAGAGTACTATCGATTCATTTGGATATATTCTTTCGTACAAATGTCATATCTATGATTCCCGCAAATTTTCCTTTTTGTTAAAGATGTAAAATTTTGTAAAAATGTAAGATTTTTAATTTTATTTATATTGGGCATAATTTTCCTTGTGTATAATTCTAATATCTTCTAATTATCATATTTCTGTGTTGGCATTGGACATCGTTTGTTGTGCAAGTGCATCTTAAAATCGGGCAAGATATGAACATAGCACTTGCAATTGCCTCACAAGTAGCCTTTTTTTTCAAAAATTTAATATTTATTTGTATTTTTTATTTGCAATAAGCAAATAAAAAATACAAATAAGTTATTTCACTTTCGTAAACAAACTTCAGTTGAACGAAAGCAAAAAAATATGAAAATGATACCTAAACTTTCGAAATATTTACTGCAACAACTAGAGTAACATCTTGAATTTGATAGATGGCATTAATCAATTTCACATTCAAATAGATCTTTCGGAACACTTTTCGAATCCGAATTTGTTACATAGTAAAGGTAAGACAAAAAATAGTAAATACTTAAAAAAATTTTTGAATTCATTTAATTATTAACTGCATAACATTTTTACATAAAAAAATAATTTTTGAATCCATTTTTTGAAAGCTAGTAATATTTGATAACAAAACATTGGTATTTCATCACATACATATGTACACATGTCAAAATTTTTTAATTTTTCAGGTCAAAATAATTTCTTTTATTTTTACATTATCTTTACAACAGCCTCGGATAACAAGGAATAAAGGATAATGATTTAAGACTTACTACTAGGCATGTAAGAACGATGCTTCAACCTGGAAAAATGAGTGAAATCGCTAGCGAAATGAAAAAATTTAGTCTGGACATAATAGCCATTCAAGAAATGAGGTGGGTAGGGGAAGTTTAATGGATTACTCCATTTTATTCAGTGAAACAAAAGAAAGAATTGGACTGCTGTGCACTGGCTTTATGATAAATAGGAAGTCAAGAAATAGCTTCCTAATATTTGAGCCAATCAGCGATAGAAGATGAATTTTATATAGACGGTGTTATAGAACAAACAATCGAAAAAATAGCCCACTATGATATGAAAATTCTATTTTCATATCATAGTGGGCTATTTTGTTCTATGTCAGAGAAAGTTTTGTGCAAGTGGTGGCTGGACCACATGCACTGTATAGCGAAATTAATGAAAATGAGAAACTTTTATATCAACTAGTAGCGGCACAAAATTTAGTAGTTAAGAGTATTTGTTTTCCAAACAAAAAAAAAATACATTTGGAATTCCCCCTGCAAATAATTATATTACACAGATAGATCATGTTCTAGACATGCAACATCGCTTATGAATTTTTTAGTAAAAGCGATAATACGTGAAAGAATAGCTAATGGGAAGGCTGCTGACCACAGAAAGAGAAAGTGGGATGTGCAAAGGTTAAATAATGACGAAGTGTTAAGAGCATATAGAGAAAAAATGGAATTGAATCTCCGAAAGACAGAAGAAGAAAATGATGTAAATAATGAATGATAACAAATCAAGATGGCTATTGAAACAGCGGTAGATGAAACCATAGGACAGGCTAGAAAAGAAAGAAATGCTGAATGGTATGGCCAAGAATGTAGAATAACTATTGAAAATAAAAATACAGCTCGATTAAAAATGTTACAAAGAAAAACGAGAAGTAATGAAAATAACTACAAAGAATTACGAAAAACAGTAAATAAAATTTGTAGGAAAAAGAAAAAAACATGCCATTAAATCAAATATAAAGAAAATAGAAGAATAACACTCAAAGCACGACTTAAAAGATATTACAGAGAAGCTAAAGAGCCGGCTTTAATACCAAATCAAATTCTGTAAAGGATGGTAATGTTTTCTTTTTTCTTTTTTTTTACCAAGAGGAAGGGTGAAAAATCTCGAAAGATACTGCCAGACGAAAAGCAGTAGTGTGGAACTTTAATCCACTAAAAAACAACCTCCTCAAAATAAATTACAAAACTAGTCGGAAACGACTAACCATTAATTTTGCTTAAACCTTTTTGATTATTCACAAGCTTTTGATCTGGCACAAAACCGTACTGAGTACTTATTGTTCCAGATAAAAAACATTTAACTAACTCGAGAGATCTCGCACGTTTAAGTCACTTAACAAAGTTTTGATTGTCAACCAATCGAGCCACCTCGATGTTGACATGATTGGATAAACGCATTTTATGACTGGCTGTTTGCTTTTTAATTTCGTCTGTGACACTTAGGATCGTTAGATCCCTGTGTATATTGGCATTACGGACATACCTTTTTGAAATCTTTGAATATATTGGATATGAGTCTGCGCAGCGCAGCCCTATAACTGAATACCCTAAGCCCAGACAAGCTTAAATATTTGATTACATATCAAAATTTTGTTGTATGTTGTCAACTTAGAACGCCTTCCCGAAAGCCATTCAAATTTTCTGTATTCCTCCTCGAGTTGAGATCTCTTTTTCTTTATGTGCTTCTTCCATCTGAGCTTCCATCAACGTCATTCCCAAATACTTCGCCGTGTTTTCGGACAGAATCAAGACGCCATTTATCTGTACCAAAATTGAATTGTCAATTTTCCTATTAGTGAAATTTACGTGTACTGATTTCACTTCGTTAAATTTTATATTCCGCTTTCTAGTCCATTTGGAGATCTCGTCACTGGCCTTTTTTAATTTTTGTGTAGATTCATTTTCATTTCGTCCTATTGCGATAACTGCTGCATCATCAGCAAATGTAGCTGCTGTCACTCCTTCCGATTCAGGAATATCACACGTGTATAGCAAGTATAATATCGGGCTCAATATACTCCCTTGTGGTACCCCTGACCTGATATCTCTAAACGAAGGGGTCTTGCCTAAATTTTTTTATTAATCTACAATGCCAAACCTTATCGAA